ACGACTCCATGATCGAAAGCTTCAAACGAATCAAGCGCCGGAGTGGAGTCGAATAATTTTGAGTTTTACGGTCGACAAAGCGAAAAGTTCTCTAAATATTTTTTTATATAAATATAACTAAATGCTACTGAAATGTTAAATGTGCGATTAACAATATGAATTTCAAACAAAGGACGTTAGTACGAAAACTTTGACTGAATGAACTTCGGTTATAATCGGGAAAAGTATTGATAAAAACAAAGCTGGATCTTCCATGTTGGAATCTGGCATTACTTCAAGAAATACCCATTCAGTAATTAACAGGCTAAGTGCACTTAAGATCATTCATGAAAAACATCTCGTCAAACACCTCAAAGAAGCCGGTTTGAGAAATTACGACGGATTTAACTATTCGTCGAGCTGATAAAACAGAAGTCGATATTTATAGAACAGTATAGTTGTAAATTCATAAATAGAAATGTTTACAAAGCATACCCCCACCCACCCTGACACAAAAACATCAATCGTTTGTTTCCATGAGTCAATATGCTTTTTTCAACACGGCGGCGAGACAACAGCATAAGGATAATATTTCAGTGATAAGGTCTTTTACCAATCAGTCAATCGCAATGGGGTTTCATATCTATGCAGAGAATATCAGCTACTAAACATACGATATGCTTCCGCCATTCCGCTTACCCAATGACCTACTTCCATGTAGTTTTACTAATGGCTTTGCATTACGAGCGCCTTCTCCGATACTAGTGTCATAACCACCCTAACGCAGGCAATGATCGCCCGATTTATGGAAGGAGCGGCTCAGAAGCGACGTTACCTTAGGTTACAGTATTACGAACTTTTGTGGACCCTCTCTATAACAGGAATTCTTGGAAGAAGCCGTTTCTGTCGGTGGTTCCCGGGATCGCGTTCTTCTGATATAAATACAGCATTCATGACCATGGATAGTGAAACCAACTTGATGACAGATACCTTCGTCCTGCTGTTCAGCTTCCTCTTCAAAACGAATTTTCTCGCTTAGGCAACTAGGCTTGATATCAATACCGAGCAATATTTATGCAGAACATGAGACACATAACGGTACAACAAAAGACCTCAACGGCAGGGACGCTGCGACCTCAGTACACCTTGGATGTTTCTGATATTTAAAGGCAAAAGGGCACTTTGTCTGAATTTCGTGTGTAAGCTGGAAAAATGCCCATGGTCCATGCTAGCTACGAATTTTTGGAAGATGTACGTCACGGAGAATGATAGAATGCAAATAGATACAAGAAAAACTATAGCAAGGTAAACAGAAGTTGGAAACAGATGACTGGTCATTATGATATACATAGCTGAATAGTTTATCTACTGGTTAACAATGGTTACTAATGGTTAACAAAATCGCTGAAATTTCCAACGAATCTGCGCGCGCATTTCGATATGGACACGGGTGACATGATCGAAACCGAATGTCTTTCTTTCCCGAGCATATTCCATATAACAGGGGTCGGCGAATATAAAACAATATATATAATGGATTACATATCATATACATATATATCACTACTGAAAATCGTACATGATTTCTTTATGCGGGAGATGATATAATTTTTTGGTAAGTCACAAACGGGAAGACAACGCATAAAATGTTCTTTAATTTACGTTTCGGACCAAACTCGGTACGTCTTCAGAGTACATTAACAAGAGCACGTAATATTTCTCGTTATATTACTGGTGCCGTGCTTGTTTACTGGTTATGATTGGCCGTCTGATGTTTACGGTCCATGTGTCGGTGACGTCTTATCCAAGGTCGCGGTTGATACAGTTGGTTGCTCTGATCAACAACACTTCTTTGACCTTGCGGGAAAGATATTGTTGTTCCCGCGTGACGCCTTTCATTTTGTCCCATGAGATGCTGTGTTGATGGGTCACAGCATGTTCCACAATGGCAGAATTTTTCTCACATCCTGCCCTTACAACAACAGGGTCTTTCGGCTGTCTCCGACCTCTGCCGACTTGCTGTTGTCCCCTTTCTCTAGCATCAGCGTTCTTCCACCTGTTCAAATTCCTCTTGTGGTCTGTCTTCCTTTCTTCAACCGCATTACCCGTTTCGTCTGTGTAAACCACACCACAGGAGCACGGTAGTTGGTACACCCAACCAGCTTGTTGCTCCTTAGGTTTCTGGGTCTTGACGTGGCTTAGGCGGCTACGTAGAGAAGCAAGTTTTGAATATCAGGTTGAGACCGGAAGCAGATGCAATGCGCCGCAGCTTTTCACTCA